GATTAGGTCTTCATGGTAAGTACATATCTTTAGTAAGCTGTATTTGTAACAGTTTTGAAATAAAGTGAGGTGTTAACCAAGCTCAATACACATTGTAAGTCCAAAAAGGCTCATAATTCTGTCAAAAATCTTGACAGTGTTATGTACACTTGTCTGTAGATGGAGGTTATGATGGTAAACAGGTATCGAAAGTTTCAAAGCCATGTCTAGTAATTTTAAAATAAAGTGAGTTGGTACGAAAAACTTTACGATGTCGGGTTGAGTAGGAAAAGTCGAGCTCAAAATGTTGCAAATTCCTGAGACAAAAAAATGTAATAAAGGGCAAGTACTTGATATATAAACCTTAGAAACCGAAAGTAGAATAGAAAATTTAATACACTGAAACACGTAAACCTTTATTGAATAACTAAAATAAATTGTAGAAAAGGTAAAACATGTCCATTCACAAATTTCATTCCTAACACAAAATAGAATAGCCCTTGTAATAAAATCGAAGCATTGTTACTGTCATTGAATTGTAGAAGTCATGTAGAAGACACTACGACAGTACGATGGCGATAGTACGACAGTACGACAGTACGATGGTGACAGCGCGACAGTACGATGCTGAAAGTACGACAGTACGATGGTGACAGTACGACATCGTACAGAACCGAAATGTGGAACTCTGGTGAATACGGAACTGACGTTGAAATCCGGGCCTTTTCAACCATGACAAACACCAATGTTTTTGTCTTTTGTGATTACGGGGATAAGAGATGTTGGATAAACTATCCACCTTTAAGTTCAACAAACAACTCACTATAGGTGAGGCTAGTGTGTACATAGTACACAAATATGACCACTATGAGCCTGTGTTGGACATCAATGAGGAAATCTTCAGTAAACCTCCATACATTCCAATTGGCAGTTATGTGCCAAAAGATTTAAAAATGTACGTTCCAAGTGAAATGTTGGAAGGCTCTTTGGTTAATAATTTCAAGGATGAGAGTATTTTACAAGAATTGCCATCTGAATTCCGTCAAAATGTGATATATGTGCAGACATTTAAGTACAAAAGTTATAACATTAGAGACTTAGAGCACGTTTCAAAGCGAATAGAGCCTAACGTGTTTAACCTGTTGTGTGACCAGGGGGACTTTGTTAAAATGCTATCTTAGATAAATATTTACAGAAGAAAGACATTTCTAAATTAGACAAATTTGTTTCGTATGTCGCTTTTTATGCTTCTTTTAAGGTATTGTTACTGTTAAACATGTTCAATTTCTGACAACATTGTCATTTTTTCTAGTATATGGTAGGGAAACCAGGCTTCCCATCGAAATCGAGCTTCCACCAAATTCTAATGCAGAACAAATAGATATAAGTGAAAGAGTGACAATATTAATAAAGCCTAATCAGTATCGAAACGAAGCATGTGCAAGCATGTGTTTGTCTATTTTTATGAGTTTTCAACAGTATTTCAGCCCTGGAAATAACCAGTACCAGACCCCACTCCTCCACGGCAAACTGACAAATGCGTCCTCCGCTGGGATTCGAACCCACTTCTGAGAGGTCTTTTGGATTAGATGTCGGCGACTCTTAATCAGTCGACCATGGAGGTAGTTTCTTCCCAGCAGAAGCAGGGAAGAAACCAGTAGCAATGCAGAGTGAATTGCCTTACTTAAGGATAAACATTCATGATGACAACCTAACCGGAATCGAACCACGGACTCCTGGCTTCGTATCCCAGTACGGAGCCTATACACCACTGACGCTTTACAATTTCGCCGCAGACGCTCTACAAAAATAGTTTATCAAGCAATTCATACATTATCTTTAGCACCAACCCAGTAATCCGCTAGTCAGCAAGTAAACATTTATGTGGTAGTAAATACACTGTCTCCCTTTAAAGAGCGAAACAAAAATTAGCTATTCCTTTAAAGCTTCTTTTGGTATATATAAACATAAGCAGCATGCATTGGGATTGAGATACAGGTATTTTGTTTGGGTCTTTAAAGGGAGACGAGTGTGTGATTAATTCTTATGAGGTCCGTCCGACTGAGCCACAATATAGCTTTCGCTATTGTTTATTTATGCAAAATTCCAGATTGTTTGCTCAATCTGTTTTGCCACAAATCACATTTAAATGTTTAATTTATGTGAATGACATAGCAGAGTCACTTACAAGTGTCACACGATTATTTGCAGATGACAGATCATTAGCAGTAAGTTCACGAGATAAAAATCATATTGAAATTACTATCAACCGCGATCTTGAAATTATATCAGCCTGGGCAAAACAATGGTTAATACAATTTAATGCTGCCAAAACGGAAGTTATGTATTTTCCACTGTCAAAAAATAATCGCGATGCCCCCGACATCTACTTTCAAAATACACATCTTAATTTCGTTCATTCACACAAGCATTTAGGAGTAACATTAAGTGATGGAACATGGCATCAACATATTTCGAATATAACAACATCATCTTCTAGAATTCTAGGTACAATGCGAATGCTTAAGTTTAAACTTAAAAGGAAAACGCTTAATCAAATTTACATATCGTATTTAAGACCGATAATTGAATATGCCTCATTGGTATGGGATAGCTGTACTTTGTACGAACAGAATGTCCTTGAAAGCATTCAGTACGATGCTGCGCGAATTGTGACTGGTCTAACAAGATCAGTATCAATCGTAAATCTCATACGCGAAATTGGCTGGGTCTCACTTGCAGATAGAAGGAAAATGCAAAAATTGATTCTTGTTTTTAAACATAGTCGAGGCGAGCTTCCCTGTTATTTGAGCGATATCTTCCCAGAAATAGTTGGTAATAATAGTACATATAATTTAAGAAACAACGAGAATTATGCAACGGTTGCCCGACGATTAGAAATTTATTCGAAATCAGTTATACCCTCTTCTATTAAAGTATGGAATAGTTTAGACCTAGATACTCGTAATAGTCACTTTCAGCATTCAAAGCCAGACTTAAAATTATTTTTTCTCGGCCTCAAGCTCCGTCATCCTTTCTTACAGGTGACAGGTTTCTTCAAATTACCACACAAGAATTAGAAATAAGTGTAGCAATCTTAATGCCGATTTACACTATAACCATTTACGCGACAATCCAATTTGTGAATGCGGTTTTCGTTCTAAAGACGCTGACCATTACTTTTTCAAATGCCCACTGTATACTGATCAGAGGTGTACCTTATTTATTAATACACGTTAAGTGCCTATAAATTATTATTCGGTATCAATAACCTTAGTGATGAAGAAAATAACATGTTATTCCATCATGTTCAAATTTTTATCAAACGATCAAGAAGGTTTCAAAATGTTTAAATCCTAGTTCCTAAAGAGTGCTCTTAATTGTTGTCCTTATTTACTATATTCATACCAAGGATAAAACGGACGGGCGGGAACTTCGACACACGGCTTCTTCTACTCTTTTCATTTTTTTTTCTCTATTGTCTTTTTTCTTTCTTTCAAAATCCTATTTAGTCACTGTTTTTTTAGCATCATATTAATTATTTCCAGACATTTTTCTTTGATTGCTTATATATACTATTATCAATATCAATACTATAACGAGACTCACGCACATCTTTTTACCTTTATTGAGACTAATTGGGAAGGGCCAACCCTCTAATGTTGTTAAAACTTGTGGCCCGACCCTTTTGCTTTATAATTAAAAACTGCAACATACATGTAAATTCTTGAAAATAACTTTGTATTGCATGTGAAATTGTATCTATATTGTACATAAAGAAAAGCAATAAAATATGATTAAACTAAATTTAAACTAAATGTTGCAAAGAATGCCAAAAACCAAAAGCTTCTGATGCAGAAGTGCAAAAATAATCAATTGTCCTCACAATTCTTATGCAATTCAAATGTTATCTTTTCACAATTGACCATGACAGCTCAAAGTCTGTTTTTGTAGCTCAGTTAGGCGCCTTTAAAAAGATAGGATTGAAAACGTATTTATAGATGCTGTGCCTTCTAATATAATAAACATTCAGGGTCATTTTTCAATGTTAAATTATGATCCGGGGTCATTTTTAAACGTTAAATTATGAACCGGGGTCATTTCTCAACACCTTCAACAGGTGGTTCAAAATTCAACAGGTGGTTCAAAATTCAACGTTGAGAATTGACCTTGTGACCGTTGAAAATTGACCCCAGGGTCATTTCTCAACAGGGTCAAAATTTAATGTTACACCGGCGCATTCGAAGTCCCTCGCCGATTATTCAAAATTCAAGCTAATGTTTTGATCTGATATCAATCTTATTTTATTTCTAGACCTTATATCTACTTGAAAAGTATTTGTTTTTAATCTGAATCGCTGTTTACATGAAATTTGGAGGAAAATTATTCTGTCTCATAATGAAACGTTCCATTTCAACGCTGAATTATCCGCCACAACTGCATTTCAAAACAATTATAACAACTTGACGTTTTCAACTGTAAATGGCATAGCATTCTCCGAATTTCGATATTTAGTGTAGAGTTTGCGATGAAAACACTTGACACTTTATTTCTGCGACATAGTAGCGATAGAGCGATTTACCGTATACCTCTCAAAGACAATTAAGCTTATGATATACAACTTTTCTCTGAATCTCCGCTTAAACTAGTTAAACATTTTTCTGTTGTTTTTCTTCTTGAATTTTCGGTAGAATTTAAGGCTAATACTGTAGCATTTATGATACAGAGAAGTGTTGAACATGCAATATCGATAGAAACTCATTCCAAGACAAAATAAAATCCAAAACTGCGACAAACATAATAATTAGCATTTTATGGTTATAGTGTTATGATGAAACATTATTGAATTTCAGTAAACTAAAATATAGATGCTCTGCAAGTTCCTTAAAATAATTATAAAAAAAAATTATATTCAAAAATTAGACATGATTATGTTCATCATTTTACATAGCTAAATACAATAACACACAAAAGGTTTTAATATCTAAATTTCATGAATAATAAAATATCAGCAAAGACAATTTACAACACTTCAGACTTCTTTTATTTCTGTACTAAAATCTGTCTTTATACAAATATCAAGTAAAATTCTGTAAAACCTTTGAAATATAACAATTCCAACACAGTGTATTTATACGAATCTCTTTCTACATGGAAGACTGATGAAAGTTAAGTTATACAGTGTAATACATGTTAAAAGTTATATAAAAATGATTTTGAAAATTAAAGGCATCATGGACCTAGAACTGATCGAGGCAATTTAGCAAACTTGATTTTAAACAAATTACATCTTCACAATCACTGACATTTTTGTTTATCCATGTTCCTTCAATACTCACTTTTCTGTTGTTTCCTTTCATACCATTTCTAGAGCTATGAGCAAAAAAGGAATATTTATACATAATCTGGACTATTTGAAGTGCCAGACAAAATCGGTCAAAATTATATTGTGTTAGAGAAGATGTTGGGCTAGATCTAGAAGACAAAACATTGTCAAGCATTCAACAAAACAAACTTGTTTCAGTTTTGGTAAAGAAACCTAAAATGGTATCTGAAAATGAGAAAAAGCACATTCTATATAGTGTTCATAAACCATGAAGGTTCGTCAAACTCCTCGCTGTATACTGCAATCCTCTCCACTCTCATGCTTTTAGTTAACAAGGGAGATGACTCATCGTCCGAGTCGTAGTCTTCCTCCCCTGCAACATCATGCATGTGATCGGTACCTACAGATTGTGTGAGGTCATCGCCTGCCCATGTCTGTCGCCTCCCAGATGCAAATATTAGATAATAGATCACGCCCGCTAAGTGCAGTGCTCCGGCGACTAAGAAAATAGTTCGCCAGTCTTTCGATTGCTGTAAGTAAAACATCGCTGATTATTCAAATTACAAATTGAATATTTTACTTCGATAACAAAACAAGTATCAAATACTTAGAGAATATTGAATGAGTGTAAGTTTAATACTGAATTTATTGAACAATTTCAATGACGCACCTAGTGTAACGCTAACTTACAGCGCGTCTTATCGCTATGTTATATAACGCAAATGACGTCACGTCAAAATATATGCACGGCCGTGCAATAACATTTTTACGGAGTCGCAGCAGCGGCCCGGATATGTGATAAAACGTGTTATCAAATTTCTAGCATGTTATGAAATTGCGGTATCAACAAAGATCCGTATAAGCATAACTTATAGCATATTATACATGTATTTAAGACTTGTCTTTTCTTTTCATTTGTTTTACTAACAGTTATGAAATATTATATCGGATAATTATATATATTAAGTACTATGTTCCATAGTTTCATCGAGAAAAAACGTGTGAATTATGCCTATATCTAAAAGCTTCTAACAAACTTATATGTTATATGGAGTTACAATAACTTACATTTGGTTCCCCAGTAACCTTCACCGCTATAACCGTACTGATCACAGACCCTATGGTTCCTAGCCTCGCAATGCCTGTCAACACACTTACATACCTGGGAGCCAGATCTAATGGATTTACCTGATAACCTAATACAATCATCAAACATTAACTAATTATGACTAATAATTGACAAAAAAAGAATGACAAAAAATATAAGATTCATTTCAATTTCATTTTTTTAAAGAGCAGTTCTATAAAATAATATTTCATTTCATTTATTAAGTAATAGATCTAACTATTTTCAAAAAAAAGAAGACAAACATTTTAATTAAATTAACTAGATACACAAACTTATAACCCTACGGGTGTTTCCGTCTGACAGCATTAAAGAGATTGATAATACCTCACTACTACTTGTTCGAGTATTTTAGTTTGTCTTTTATTGACAATATTACCAGTAAGCATTATTTTGATTAGTAAAAACTAGATCTGTCACTGTCATGGCGTGAATACCCCTGCATACCACTTTTTCAGAATTAACAGTGATCATTGAGAGCTCAAGGACAACCTCCAAGCCAAATCTGAGGGTAGTAAGCCAGTGCATTGCTAAGTCATGCATTCTATATGTTTTGGTGGCAGAGATCAAAGTGACCTTTACCTTTGACGCATGAACTTTACCTTTGACGCACTGACCTCAAAACCTCAAAACTTAAACTGCCACTGCATGACTTGAACACCCCCCCCCCCCGCGCCCCGGTTTATACAGCTTTGCCTGGGGTGTTTTATGATGAATATATATGAGAACATAATTATATGCTTCAAATGTGAGCGGAAAGCTTTTCAACTTAAGGCCCTTGAGACCTTGACCTTTGACCCAGTGACCTCAAAATCAACATGGATCACCAAATGAACATGGTCAACCTCAATGACGTAAACTCAACCAAAAATACAATGCAGATGACTGCCATATTACATGTACATGTTGTTTTTTTTGTCATGCTAGTCCCACCTGATATTGCGATACCGCTGACACCAACTCCGACACACAAGATTGCAATTGCCGACCTATCTGTAAGATTAGTTAGCAAACCTAGTGCTAAAAGGCATCCGGACTCCACTCCGAAACCTGTACGTAATCATATGGAAAAGAAACTTATAAATACACCAACTTGATACATGCAGATCTATTAGATTATTCTGCTTTTTAAATCGTAACTTATTCATTTACGATACTTTTAAAATGGTAAAAATCGTTTTACTTATAAAATATTAAAACCAAACAGATTATTTGGTACTCGTCGTTACAACGTATAGATGAGTACCTTTGTACTAGCGTTTTAGTACAAACCGTTTTTTGTACATTCATTGTTTGCTCGAATGATTCGATCTGTATTCATATTTGAAAATCAGTTTCTAGCGAGCAACTCTTGGGGACACAGTCTTTCAAATTCAATGCCAAAATTATTCTGTGGTAAGTACAATTTTGAAAGTGTCCAAGTATTGCCTTTATAAAATGTATTGTTTAAATTTAAAGCAAACATAGTGTAGACATTTTACATCGTTTTGTATAAATGTTTTGCAAGGATGAGGCCTAACATTCGATGGTATTTGACAGTCACTTTCCTTTGATGGCTTTCCTTAAATAACACTGAAATCAATTCAAAAAAAAAAAAAAAATTTTTTTTTTCGTTTTTGTTTTTCCTGGACAAATTGCAAAACATTTATATGACAGAGAAAAAATGTATTAATCAATTACATATGCTATATTTGCACATTTATTATGTCATCTTGTATACTGTCCCTAAATACAAGCGTTCTCGCATATTGTTCTATACAAGCGTTCTCGCATATTGGTCTATACAAGCGTTGTTGCATATTGTTCTATACAAGCGTTCTCGCATATTGTTCTATACAAGCGTTCTCGCATATTGTCTATACAAGCGTTCTCGCATATTGTTCTATACAAGCGTTCTCGCATATTGGTCTATACAAGCGTTCTCGCATATTGTTCTATACAAGCGTTCTTGCATATTGTTCTATACAAGCGTTGTTGCATATTGGTCTATATACAAGCGTTCTCGCATATTGGTCTATACAAGCGTTCTCGCATATTGGTCTATACAAGCGTTCTCGCATATTGGTTCTATACAAGCGTTCTCGCATATTGTTCTTTACAAGCGTTCTCGCATATTGTTCTATACAAGCGTTCTCGCATATTGGTCTATACAAGCGTTGTGCATATTGTTCTATACAAGCGTTCTCGCATATTGTTCTATACAAGCGTTCTCGCATATTGTTCTATACAAGCGTTCTCGCATATTGTTCTATACAAGCGTTGTTGCATATTGTTCTATACAAGCGTTCTCGCATATTGTTCTATACAAGCGTTGTTGCATATTGTTCTATACAAGCGTTCTCGCATATTTTCTATACAAGTTCTATACAAGCGTTGTTGCATATTGTTCTATACAAGCGTTCTCGCATATTGTTCTATACAAGCGTTCTCGCATATTTGTTCTATACAAGCGTTCTGGCATATTGTTCTATACAAGCGTTGTTGCATATTGTTCTATACAAGCGTTCTCGCATATTGTTCTATACAAGCGTTGTTGCATATTGTTCTATACAAGCGTTCTCGCATATTGTTCTATACAAGCGTTCTGGCATATTGTTCTATACAAGCGTTCTCGCATATTGTTCTATACAAGCGTTGTTGCATATTGTTCTATACAAGCGTTCTGTTCTCGCATATTGTTCTATACAAGCGTTCTTGCATATTGTTCTATACAAGCGTTCTCGCATATTGTTCTATACAAGCGTTCTGGCATATTGTTCTATACAAGCGTTCTCGCATATTGTTCTATACAAGCGTTCTCGCATATTGTTCTATACAAGCGTTGTTGCATATTGTTCTATACAAGCGTTCTCGCATATTGGTCTATACAAGCGTTGTTGCATATTGTTCTATACAAGCGTTCTCGCATATTGCATTAGTGTCCAGCTTTATTTGTCATCCAATGAAAACGATTTTTCTTAAAAATTGTGTGTGATAATTTTCATAGAAGAACAAAAGTCGATACTATATCCAAATCCGTTCATAGTCGCCTTCTATTTTTCATAGTACTTCTTAGAACCGCATAGTGACGTAATAAAGTGAATAATGATGAGGTCAAATAAAGCTTGACATTAGGTATGTTAGTATTCATCCGTAGCTGTTGTACAGAAATTAGAAACATTCTCCTGTCGCTATCGCTCCCGTCGAAACTTCTAATTTCTGTAGAACAGCACGGATGAACACTAACATATACTTCGAGTGTTTTAGTTGTTATTTGTAGAAGTTTTGTAGGAAATAAGATGGTACAATCACTGTGATGTACATTTCTGTGACCTCACGTGCTTTTTCCCAATTCAGATTTATGATTTTTATCAATCGCTTGTTTTCATTTTCGAGTGTGTGCTGTTTTTCTTGGTCTCAGCCATGAAAAATAACTGTACTCGAATGTTCTCAGAAACCAGTCAGAGGGTTTCGTTATTTTATTATGTGGGTAGCTTTAAATATTGTACAATTACGGGTACTATATCTAATCAAAATCGGTTGTTACAGCAAAGATATTAATAAAAAATATGCCTGAAAAAAATGCGCGTGTTGCGTGTGTTCCGCCTGTTTAAGGGTCACGTGGTATCGCCACATTGATTTTACTGTTGAAGTCTATGACAACAGCTAAGGCATTTATTCGCGAATATCTTAGTCACTCAGTGTAAGATTTTTAAGTAAATTACTTTACAATTGATATAACTGACTCATGAAAGTTATGATGTTTTAGGTGTTAAACAGATTTGAAATTTGACTCAAATTATTGTAATACAATTACTTTTAAGTGTGATTGTATTATTAATAATTGTTTGTGACTGTGTACACATTACACATTACTAGGCAGTAACAGTTATCATTCCTTTGCTCTAAAATGGTATAAATCAAGACTTCAGTGGTCACCAAAATAATAACTTTACTTGAAAATATTTTACTGAGTTATATAACGGATGTTTTAAGTTATATTTACCAATAGTTTCAGCAGTTTTTCTAGCAACGGTTGTTGATACTATATTACGTTTTATAAGGGCGTCAACAGTGAAGCCGCCACATATCACCACCACTGTCATCATAACATGTGGAGCGGCCGACCATATACCAACCTGAAATAAAAAATTGTATGCTATTTTATAATCTCATTTTGTTTTCGCTTTCCATCTGTAATTATCAAAATATTCAGAATGTTTCTAGCTACGATGAATTTTAATATTTAGAATTATGTTTCAGGTGATAACTTATCATGGGCAACACTATGTATTACCTTCACCTTTACAAGCTGTGGACATTAAAATAAAATTAAAGTCATTGCCCAAGACCAATGTTGTATTAAACAGTTCAGCTTCCTGTCATATGGTGTACAAACAATTCTTTAATGAATTCCGATTTTCAACTTAAGGTTAGTAAGAATTGCTACAGGGCTTTTGTTTTCTTTATTTACCTCAGCAGCCGGCATCCTATAGACATCTTTAAAATATGATGGAATTTGAGTCAAGAGGAGAGCGAAAATCCAGTTCCTGCAAAATGATGCTACAAGGATCGCACTCAGAGGCAAAGATGTTAATATTTTCTTCCATGGGATTTCGCTAAACTGAAAATTAATTCGAAATTTACTTAGAATTATTTTCACAAGCTTCAGTCGTTCTATGATTAAGACGTAATGTACACTTGAAATTAAATGGGTTCACAGACGTAAAAAGTGCTGCACTAAATCTACCATATTTCGTCAAATATTCCCAAACTTTATATGAAATATCATCAAATATGTACCAATATGAACTTATAATCATTTGAAAATGGTAATAAAATAATTACCGAAAATATTCAAATTACGTATTTGGTGCTTATCAGAAGTTGAGTAGTATATAAAATATCTTTTCATAGAAAGAGAAGACAAAACATGCTATATAGATAAACAATGTATATAAAGTCGTACATGTACATTTTGTCCTGGCCTTGCAAGTCGACCTTCGGATTGGAACAGTTCTTTCTCCCTGTCTGACATTCCAGGACAACAAGAAGGACCGTCGTGAATACAACATAACCAAACTAGAGACCATACCACTCCTATGCCACCTTGTGAAATTTATAGAAATATTCAATATCACATATTCTCAAAAAAAACAAAAAACGATGTATTTTTTTATTTGTTTGATAGTTGTTGTTTCGTGTGGGGGTTGGTTTTTTTTTCTCCAGAATACTGGAAATATAATCTTCCTATTCAGTTACATGATTTAAGCATTAGAAGCATGTACTTTAAATAGCATGTTGTGTTGGTTTAAACATATTTATTTAAGCTCAATTGCGAAACAAGTTATTGCAACTTATATTAATCACTCTCGAGTCCGCTTCCTGGAACCAACTAGTACTGGTGTCATATGACGCAACATGGTCGTGACACGAGTAGGGCTCGAACCCATGATCTCTTGGTTGAGCGACAGTCACCTTAATCACTAGGCCACCGCTCCCCTTCGCATATTATGTTATGCACGTGATATACAATTGCACAGATTATCCCAACAATGGTTTGATATTCTTTTCACATATCTATTTCTAAAATCAAAAATAAGAAATGGTGTTCTTTTAACGTTGGAAAAAAAAACATTAAATTTAAATACATTTATTACAACAGTTTCGACATATTTGTTTGACCATTAACAATACCATAAAGAAAAAGAGCTGATCCCCAGCTGATCCTGCATATCATCATTCCGGAAGTCACTGCTGCTACTGCTGCACTTAAATATGCCCCTGAATAAAAAATGATAGTCAAACACAAGAATCAATGTCAAAACATTTGTTTAATCGGAACAAAGGTTAACCAGTTTTCCTGTTGTTGTTTGCTGCTGTTTTTTTTTCTTCTTTCTTTCTTTTTGCACGTTCACATATTGATATAACTGACATGCTTTCAATCGAAAATATATCAAGAATTACGCACGCATATTTTGCCACATTATGCCTCAGAAACAAACAGATTTTTAATTACTTAGAAAAGACAAAAATGACTTTAATAATTTTTAAATGACGGTTTTAGAGCATGTTAGATGCTTGGATCTGAAGACAGTAGCACTTAATGTGACACTATTTGTCACAGAAGTAGCAACTTGTAAACAAAGTCGTATTTGGACTACCACTTAAAATACTAAATTACTATAACTGTAAAAATTGCCAAAAAGCAACAGAAGTAAAAGATAGTTCAGACAATTGGCTCCAGTAATTAGTATCTTTTTGTAAACTATTAAAAATACACCAAAAATAAGAAGTTTTAAAGAAATAACATAAAAAGTATTTTGCCTTTTCCAGGTGCAAAAAAGTCCTTTTTATAAACGTATGGAGTTGCAATGTAATCCAAATTTTTTTACAAGATAACTCATGTATAATTTGTATATAAAATGAGTTATATTTTAAAGAAAAGTCCGGATTACGTTACAAATCTTTTTGAAGTGAACAATTGAAATCTTATATCTGAACTGAAAAAAATGATTTTTAAGATTACCAGAGTATGAAATAGTAATAAGTACACTCTTTTCTGATTTCGGAGCCCAGAGTGATATAACGCCATTGAAGGACGGTACAATTGCCCCCTGAAACAAAACAAAATACATACCAGTATCAAAAGGGAAACAAATATGAGCCGCGTCACGACAAAACCAACAGAATGGGTTTGCGACCAGCATGGATCCAGACCAGCCTTCGCATCCGCGCAGTCTGATCAGGATCCATGCTGTTCTCTATCAGTTTCTCTGCTTGTAATAAAGTTGGTAAGCGAACAGCATAGATCCTGATCAGACTGCGCGGATGCGCAGGCTGGTCTGGATCCATGCTGGTCGCAAACCCATTATGTTTGATTTGTCATATGATAATACAAAGTTTTAACAAAATGAATATCATCATTATCATTTAAGAAGAGAGAGTGGTGTCTAGTCTTGTTTATTTTATCTGCTTAAATGAGTATGTTCATGTCTAAATGTGAACCGGTGCTAGGGTTGTGAACAGGTAGAATGCATTACCGCTATTTTCTGTGAACAGGCTTATTTAAAATCTGCAACATATGCAATTTGGCTATTTTTGGCGTTCTTTAAGGCTTGCGCTGTTTCATCAAGATAGGCTGCTATTCATCTAGTCAAACGAGTCGTATTGTTTATATAGCTTCTTCTTTTACAAAGCAATAGAAGAAAAAACAACAAATGCACACAGAAATGGTCTTGTCTTATATCATTATAATTCATCTAAGATAAATGGTTTTGTTAGTCAGTATAATGGCTGCATTGTAGACTGCAGTCTTAAACCGCCTGTCCCTATATAGGACAATTAATTGTTATAATAGAGTCAATTAAAATGTGTTAAAAAAACTAACTCCTTGTATATGACAATTGTACAAATGTAAAACTTCAAGTTAATGAAAACGTTTTATTCTAATCAAACTATACGGTGTAACAAAATATAACCTTCTTAAACTGTTAACTTACTTCAACGATGCCCTGTACAACCCGGATCAGGAACACTAACCAGGACTGGTATTGTAGAGCAAATCTCAGAGCAATTGTTAGAAGACTTGTTAAAAATATAGCAACTCCAACTACACTGTAAATATAAATTGAAAATGCGCTTAGAATGTGTAGTTTGTCTGATGTGTGGATTTAGGTAATCCGAGATTCCTTGGTAGATATGAAAACAGGCTGAAATATCTGCAGACTTGGCCTAATTGAGTCTGTATTGGAGATAATGGTCTAATCTTTTGTTGAAAAAGACACAAAAGCTCTACTGAGTAAGTCTCTGTTATATGACAAACAGCATTGAATGAATTCACTTGATTTTTCAAGAATTTGGATAGAGTGAATGTAAATTGTCATATTCTTAACATTTTCCTTTTAACACTATGAATGAGCATTGCTGAAGAATATTTTACCGTCTAGGTAAGAACCTCGCAGCAAGGATACCTCCAGGTATCTGGGTAAAGATCGTACCGACAAAATAGTATGTTTGGAACAGAAATATATATTTCGATGGCCAGTCTTGATGAAAGTTGGTGGCACTTGTATTCAGACACTAGATAAAACAAGATATAAAATGAGATAAATTACAACATTTATGTATAAAGTTTCATCTATACATGTATACATATATATAAAACATAAAGCACAATCATAAAATGCATGTATAAATAGGCATTCTAAATAGAATAAGAGGGAGACTGTTAACTTATAAGGGGGCCAACTTCACAAACCATATTACAGCAATTTACCTATGTATAGTGAAGAATTGTCTCCCTTGGATACACATATGTGATCATCATCATTCTATAATATTTAAAAGCATACATGATATAAAAAAGGAATTACATGTATACTAAAACTCAAGTTAATTACATGTATACTAAAACTCAATTTAAAACTGTACTTTATACAGGGTTAATTTGACGGAAAGATTACTAATACTGACTTTTTAAAAATGTAATACCACTACATGTACTAACTATCTTATGATACTAATGTGCAGGATAAATATTCTAGAAAAACACCTATAGCCAGACCCCAGACGAGCTGGCCACTCCGTTATATCATGAAATATTAAATCAGCAGTGATAGTCTACACAGAAATAAAAGATTTGTACAATCAAATTTTTAAGATTGTTAAAATTTGCAGTTGGTTAAACCTCATTAGTATCTAAATTTAGTGATATAAACTATTCCTTCTTATTTTAAGTATTTCTGAGCAGGATTTGGCAGTGAGTCTTACAATCTTTTTATCTGATAAATGGAGGCATAATTTCTCAATGTCAGTATAATCATTGAATCTAGAGCAGACATTAACAGCTTTTTTTATATAAACGTTGACGTATATCATTATAGATGTTACAATAGAGCAATGCATGCATTTAATCTTCTATCCCATCTGTACATATAGGACATAATCTATCATTAATGTCCAGCCGTTCGTAATGCACCATCTTTAGTCTAATAGAGGATACACGACATCTAAATTTTGCTAAAGCAGACCTGTGTGCCAGTGGCATAACAGTAGTTATATAATTTTCATGCTCAAAAGTCAAATTTAATTTTCTGATATAATTTCAGTTTATTTCTACTTTGATCATTTTTGCCTAGAATACCATATCCTGACATAATCCATTCATCTAGAAATGCATCCATGGCAGATTCTGACAATCGTTTACTTACAACATTTTTATCTAAAACAGTGTTTAAGTTGCAAAATTCTACAATCAAATTTTGGCAATATATTTGTAACTCTAAAATACCATTTTTTACAATTTCTATTAGATCAGTTTACAAAACAGATTTAAAATTTTGAAATTTAGTCTTTTTTTTCTATTCATAACTGATATTCTGTTAGCAACACATTTTAACTGCTATCCCACGCCATGTCCCCAACAGCAGAAGAGCTAGGGTGTACTTTCCAGTCCCCATATGGCGCGATTACATACAGCTTCAATACATGAAAACTTTCGTTGTGTGAGACTGATAAAAAGAATTCAGTATAATAAATCATATCCGGGCATTCTGCATACATTAAGTCAAAGATAAGTTAACTATTTACATACATATATTCAATTGATCAAGATATTTTTTAAAAGAAAATCAAATGTCCACTTGAAAACAAGCTATGTTTAAATGTGTGCAACTTAGATCTAACTTCCTGGTGAATCATACGTACGATTATGCATCTACATAACTGTATATTTATACTTGCTTTACTGGCAAATGAAAAAAAACGATGCAATAAGCATGCATTAAATGACTTGTTAAGCTGTGAACTTAGGCCTACTAACTTTTTTCGAAAAGCAAAGAATAAAACCAACACTAAGTTGGTCTCGAACTATGAATAATACGTCAACTATGTCTAGACTAAAATTAAAGCATATTATAACTTTCCTTCATGTAGGTAAAAATAAGAGACATGTAAACAAACAATCAAGCACTGACCACTAAGTTTTTAATGAGTCCACCTTCAGTGACGTCAATACCGAGTAAATGCGTGACAACCATTGTGAAGACCTCTCGTGAACCGATTGATATCAACATTCCAATAAACGTCATAAAAACTACCAAATGCCGTCTGCCGCAGATACAACTCATACTTCACTTCTTTCCGTTCTGTAAAACATTCTACATTCATTACGGACCTAATTGATGGCGTCTTAATTACAATCCAGTATATATTTATGAATTTTACTCCTTTTTTCATGTTGGTACACATGGTAGCAGTTCTAAGTGAGTCTCATGAATTTGTGTTTAAAATAATCGCATCTAATGGCAAAGCAAAATTGAGTCACATTTATAAAATATATACGTTGTTGTGTCTGACCTTTCTTATACATACCTGTGTATATTCAGTCAGAAATTATCTAAACTGTTCAAAATATAACAAAATAGTAAAATAATCCATAATTATAAGCACTCACCGTTTTATAAAGCTTAGGCATTTAGGGGTGGTGAAGCTACAGTTCCCTCCTATCATTACTTTGCACATGTACAAAAATGTAAATGGTTTACAAAATAATATCTTTTATATAAAGGCTACGAATACTTGTATAATATGGGCATAATTGCAAGGATAAAATGCAATTCGTTAAAGAACAACATTGACAGTAGTGTTCATTTCTTTGTATTCTATTTTATAGAATCTGTCCGACTCTTGTAGCAACAACAACAACAGCAGCACTGAAAGGACAGAGTAAGCTGACACTATCCTAGTCGCAGACGGAGGATACTGTTAATAACTGTAATAATTGTGAGAATTTATTTATCCCTCAGAGGGATTTTAAACCTTAGTGCTGCACATCCAATGGACTTAAATTTTAATGTTGATTAAGTCCTATACAAGTAACAATGCTTTCAGAATTTCTGTTTAGCTTTTTTTCATAAGTTTTCCTTAATTTCCTGTTTGTTCTACTTGAATATTTATCCATTGAAACTTTAAAACGAATCACAGCGTTTAAACTTTACCATGTGAAGTGCGTTCAAGTGTGCTTTATGTGTATACGCATTAATTAGCTTTTAAGATCGGAAACTGAAAGTAGTAAATTTTTACATTAATCATTTTTTCTCGTACACGTATCAAGAAAACAATAATGGTATTGTGAAATAATTCAGAACGGCTTAATTGTCGCAATCACTATAGCTGTATGTCACAGTAAATTTGGATAATCGTTTGAATTATTAAGTATACAGACCAACAATATGTTATTGTATCTCGCATCTTACTTTAATGAATGTACATTATACTTACAACGCTAAAGTACTTTAGGAAGGAAAATATTTATTTATTTAGTCAGTCAGTCAGTCAGTCAGCTTAGTCAGTCAGTCAGCTTAGTCAGTCAGTCAGTCAGTCAGCTTAGTCAGTCAGTCAGTCAGTCAGCTCAGCCAGCTCAGTCAGTCAGTCAAGTCAAGTCAAGTCAAGTCAAGTCAAGTCAAGTCAGTCAGTCAGTCAGTTTGTTTGGGTTTTTTGTTTGTTTGTTTGATAATTTGTTTGTTTGTAAGTTTGTATGTTTTTAGTCAGTCAGTTAGTCAGTCAGTCAGTCAGTCAGTCAGTCAGTCAGCTTAGTCAGTCAGCTCAGTAGTCAGTCAGTCAGTCAGTCAGTCAGCTTAGTCAGTCAGCTTAGTCAGTCAGTCAGTCAGTCAGTCAGCTTAGTCAGTCAGTCAGTCAGTTAGTGTCAGTCAGTCAGTCAGTCAGTCAGCTTAGTCAGTCAGTCAGCTTAGTCAGTCAGTCAGTCAGTCAGTCAGCTTAGTCAGTCAGTCAGCTTAGTCAGTCAGTCAGTCAGCTTAGTCAGTCAGTCAGCTTAGTCAGTCAGTCAGCTTAGTCAGTCAGTCAGTCAGTCAGTCAGCTTAGTCAGTCAGTCAGTCAGTCAGCTTAGTCAGTCAGTCAGTCAGTCAGTCAGTCAGCTTAGTCAGTCAGTCAGTGTGTCAGTCAGTCAGTCAGCTTAGTCAGTCAGCTTAGTCAGTCAGTCAGTCAGTCAGTCAGCTTAGTCAGTCAGCTTAGTCAGTCAGTCAGTCAGTCAGCTTAGTCAGTCAGTCAGTGTGTCAGTCAGTCAGTCAGTCAGCTTAGTCAGTCGTCAGCTTAGTCAGTTAGTCAGTCAGTCAGTCAGCTTAAGTCAGTCAGTCAGCTTAATCAGTCAGTCAGTCAGTCAGTCAGCTTAGTCAGTCAGTCAGTCAGTCAGCTTAGTCAGTCAGTCAGTCAGTCAGTCAGCTTCAGCCAGCTTAGTCAGTCAGTCAGCTTAGTCAGTCAGTCAGCTTAGTCAGTCAGTCAGTCAGTCAGCTTAGTCAGTCAGTCAGTCAGTCAGTCTCAGCCAGCTCAGTCAGTCAGTCAGTCAAGTCAAGTCAAGTCAAGTCAGTCAGTCAGTCAAGTTGTTTGGGTTTTTTGTTTGTTTGTTTGATAATTTGTTTGTTTGTATGTTTTTATTTATTTATTTATTTTATTTATTTATTTATTTATTTATTTATTTATTTATTTATTTATTTATTTAATTTATTTATTTATTTAAAAGTAAACATCACGCTGCTAATTTTGAACACATCCTGATATCAGTAAATAACATTTATTCCTGGTCCATTATAATTAAAAGATTTTTGTTTGTTAACTGTTTTCTTTTATAACTTAAACCATTTCTTTTGTTAAATTCCTGCCTATATCTATGGCAGTTACGATAAACTTATAAAAAAACCAACTTACTTCAGTCTTGTTATTACACAGATATTCCGTAAAAGTTATTTATCCAAAAAGGAAGAAGTTTCATTTGTATGTAGAGAAAATGTACTTTCTTTTTGCATTCCGCGTAAAATTGTTGACATTCGTGTTTTACTAAATGATGTAAGACTTTCTTTTCCTCCTTTCATTTTAAGATTTAAGAAATTATGTATTGTATACATGTAATACGACACTTCATACTCTATAATGTTAAAAGTGCATGTACATACAAGTACATGTTATATGAAAATACATATTCAGTGGAGTTGTACATTAAATATAAACAAAAATAAAACAAATTGGAATATTTACAGGATGAACAAACTTTATAAAAATAAAAACATGCAATAAGACATAACAGGTGCTTGCGCACGAACACAATTTGAATTTTGAATTTTCAAATTGTGGTAGAGAATATTTGAGATTTCTTAAACCCTTCATATCTTCCACGTATATAATCTAAAGCTTCTTGTCTTTTGACGTCTTATCTGTGATATGCAGGCTTCATAATCTCTGATCTCAAAATCCCATATTGTTCTAGCTTCGCGCAATGTTTTCCTTTTTAGGGCATACGCATTTTTTTTACTTAGGGACCATACGCCGCTATTCATAGAAAGGCACGAAAGTGTCACATTGAAGGTTCCATTGATATTGCCGTGTGAACACACCTACGGATGTTTCTAAATTCAAATTTCTACCATTTTAGTGCTCGGCTTAAGCCGGTGCTAGGGGAGATGGACGATAGCTTGCAAATACCTCTACCGCCCATGTTTTTTTTTCTCTTCTTCACAGTGATTCTAATGCCAGATAAAATTTCTGGCAAGAGTATACTAACGGAAACACCAGTCTGATATGCAACAAAGAAAAGTTGTTGAATATTATACCTGCAACACTTTCAATTGTATCGTTAGGTGCGTTTTTTAGGCTTTCCTTACAACAATTTTCATTTTTAGGTTTTTTAGGGTTACCCTTTTTATGAATTGATAAACGTTAAATCATTACAACAGTTAATAATTAAATAGAGGATATTTGTTTTGTTATGTGTAAGATCGGAATATATTTCATCGAATCATGTACTTGACGAAATTACATATTATATTTCTGGAACATGTAACGTTTAAGTCTCTGCTATGACTGGGATACCCAAGCCATGATGAATTATTTTGTAAGGTCGTCGATTCTTGAAACGCACTGAGAAATTACGCTACAGCATTGAAGCATATTTTAAAGTCTAAATCACAAAATTAAATAAATTTTGGACAGGTCAAAATAAGCAGTGGTGGATTCAGGCCCGGGCTTCAGCTCGGCCTAAAGATACGTTTACCAGCTGTGCTTGAATATATTTTTCAGTTTCAAACTTTATTGGCTGTACATAGTGTACTCCCGTATCAAAACATTTTTTGCTGTCATCCAGTTGTTAATCTCCTGCCTGGCGGCTTGGCAGAGATCTATATCTATTCCCAAATATTTGTAATTTTATTATACATTCTGTAAATGAATGGAGTGACCATACTCCCGTTAGTTTTTCACTGTTTTGTAACAATATAAAACCGGTGGTGAATGAAAATGTTTTTGTACGCTATAAATGGAATGATAATCATGTAAATACATTTCGAAACAGTCTGATCGCTAAATTGCCAGAATTTAATAGGTTGACCTGCGCTATTGAAAATGGTAATCGTTTATCTATAAACGATGCACTTTATAATTTTACAAGCCTAATAAGAAATGTGGCAGACCCTTTATTCTCAAAAAACATTCCTAATAGAATTAATCATTCATTTTCCGACACGACCCCGGCAAAAGATGCAGACTGGTTCGACAATGAATGTAAAAGAACAAAAGCGACATATTTAGACGCTTTGAATGCGTTTAATGCATGTAAAACAAGATCAAGTAGAGAATATTTTTGTAGATGTAAACAAGAATATAAGAATATAATAAGAAAAAAGAAAAATATTTACTTAAGAAGTAAATATGCAGATATAAAAAAATTAAGGTTCAGCAAACCGAAACAATTTTGGAAGTACTTTAAAAAGAAACAAAATTTAGCTAAAAACAATGAAATTACAGTAGAAATTTTTTATAGTCATTTTAAACATTTATATAACGACGTCTTTGAATGTAATAATGAAGAAGCAAATGATTTTTGTGAATAACATAATTTTCATGATTCTGGCTGTGCTTTCAATGAATTGAATATACCAATTACAATTACTGAAATTTTGGAAGCTGTCAAATCTCTTAAAAGGGAAAAATCTGCAGGTCCCGATTTTCTCTTAAATGAATACTTTATACAATCAATAGATATCTTGGGTTCACATATGTGTGATATATTTAATAATTACAACAAGTATGAAAACAACAGTTACTTATGTGAAAGTTTAGAATTCGAAAAAATTTGCTTTAATCACATGTTGAAAATTGTAAAAAAGGGGAGATAATAATTTAGAAACATATTTATCAATCAGTATATTTTATAAAGCTATCAAATAAAATGAAAATGATCTATCTATTATCTATTCAAAATATGGTATTATGCTCAAAATCAATTTATGTTATATGAAATAATAAAAAATCATATGAATACATTACGAATAATGTAGTATATAAATGTAACAATCAAAATAAATTAATAACATTTGATCCAATTATCCTGATATATTAAATGCAAATTTTGCGTCTGGGATTTTTCCAGATAAATGGACTGAAGGAATAATTGTTCCTATACATAAAAAGGGCGATGTTAATAATGTACAAAATTATAGAGGAATTACCCTCGTAAGTTGTCTTTCTAAACTTTTTACATCTATTTTAAATAAACGATTAGAAGCATTTTGTGAAAATAATCATGTAATCTCAGATGCTCAGTTTGGATTTAGAAAAGGCAGGTCTACTGTTGATGCCATATTTATTTTACATTCAATTATACAACATTATATAAACAACAATAAACGATTATATGTTGGATTTATTGACTTGAAATCTTGTTTTGACAGTATAAATAGAAATTGTCTATGGTTAAAATTATATAAGTGTGGTGTTCAAGGTAAAATCTTGTGTATTATTAAAGATATGTACGATAAAGTTAAATCTTGTGTACGTTCTTGCAGTTCATATTCCGATTTCTTCATGTATGCAGTGGGTCTAAGACAAGGGGAGGTAATTTCACCTCTGGTGTTTTCATTATTTGTTGAAGACCTAGAATTATATCTTCAAAATGATATCAATGTAGGTTTACAAATTGATGATATAGTTATATTGTTGTTGTTATTTGCTGACGATATGGCAATACTAGGTAAAACACCAGAAGATCTCCAGACAAGTTTAGATAATCTATATAATTACTGCAACTGTTGGGGACTAGAAGTTAATACGTTACAAAACTAAGGTTATGGTTTTTAGGAAAAGAGGTAGGGTACGTGCAAATGAAACATGGTACTACAATGGGCAACAATTAGAAAAAGTTGATAATTTTAACTACCTGGGTACTATTTTCAATTATACAGGCAACTTTGCTTTAAACCAGGAACACTTAATTGGCAAAGGCCTTAAGGCATTAAATGTTTTACTATATAATTGTAAAAAATATGATATAAAACCTAAACTCAAATGCCAACTGTTCGATTCATTTGTTGGTTCTATCTTAAATTACTCTGCTGAAGTATGGGGACATTCTAAATCTAAAGAAATTGAACGTATCCACCTTAAATTTTGCAAAAATGTTCTAAATGTCAGAACAAGTACATGTAATGCAGGGGTTTACGGTGAATTAGGAAGATGGCCATTATATATTGCTCGTTTTGTTAAAGTTATCAAGTTTTGGTGTAAAACAATCCAAACTGATAATATAATTATGAAAAAAGTTTATGAACAAAGTGTTATTGATTGTGAACATGGATATAATATCTGGGTCTCAAATGTTAAACGATTATTGTATACATTTGGCTTTGCTGATTGTTTTATAAATAGTGATAATGTTGATGGCAAATTATTTCCTAGAATATTTAAACAAAGACTTATTGATAATTATGTACAAGATTGGCATGGTAATATTGAAAATAATAATGTTTTAGATCTATATAAAAATTGCAAAACTAATTTATCGTATGAAATTTACCTCGACCTTTTACCACGTAGTTTAATAATGTATATTTCCAAAATAAGATTATCAGGCCATTCTCTCAGAATACAAACTGGTAGAGATAGTAGACATAGATTACCACGAAACGAGAGATATTGTCAGTGCTGTAATACCCTTGATATCGAAGATGAATATCATTTTGTTCCGGTTTGTCCTTGTTATAATAATATTCGTAAGACATATATAAAAAAATATTTTTATGTTAGACCATCGATGTTCAAATTTATTCAGTTATTGCAAACTTCAAACAAGCTTTTATTGATGAATTTAGCAAGATACATTAAAGAAAGTTTGGCAATCAGAAATACTCTCTTAAATATTTGATTTTTTAACATCCTCTTGGAAAATATTTTTTTTTTACAATTCTCATATATTATAACATCATGTTTGTTTGTGTAATCATGCATTGTTCTTAAATAATAAAGGTATTTTCTCCTATGTGATTCATTATCATTATTATGATTTGTGTGTATTCATGTATAACTTTTAATGATACTGTTCTCTATCTAGAAAGAAACTGCTCAATAAGTATTTAGTTTTGCTGCTGGTTAACATCTATCCTTCGCCTTTATCGGGAGGGAGTTTTACTTTCAGTGGGATGGTTAGACTCACTGGGTAAAATATGGTATACAATATCCTGTGAGGTTGCCAGTAGAATTTCTATTACTGCTATGATTGAGAAAATATTTACTTATTACTCATAACAATGTACATTCTATTATATATTCTAAGTATCATATTGTACTTTGTGTTACCATGATCACGTGACGTGATAATTGTTTTATTTATCTATATGCATGACGATGTACTATGTACAAGTCTAAATAAAACGTATGTTCTGTTCTGTTCTATCAACATGCTTGAATGACGTAATTCAATGTTTAAACTGCATAATTGATTGGGTTATTACTTTCCCAAGGTCTAATGAAATTGACAGATGGTGGCAAATAAATGTGTTACAAAGTACACCATATTTAACTATCTTTGTTTTTCCATTTTCATTGGGAAAGCCCTATAATATTATTAAGAAATTGAAAAAAATGTTGATTTGTAAATTACAAAGGTGGCGAGTTTTGTAAAGATAATATTAAAAGAATCACATTTTAATTACTAGGTTTACTAAGATTTTTATTAAGGTGAAATGACTGATCATTTGCTTTTAACAACTTTTTATGGCAGTTATATTTTTTTAAATAAAATTTAAACTGTACTGACCTCTTTAATGATAATCTACATGTATAATAGACTTATTGATGAAAAAAAATCTTATTGAATATTAGTGTTTCAAATTTATTTTCTACAATAAAAAGGCAGTATTTTAATAACACTTTATTTAGGATAGTCGTCTATTATTCAGATGGGTAAATTGATCGAGTGTTTGAAATTAATTTTATCAACGGTTGCGCATGCATTGGTGTGCTGTTATTTTGTAAATGCATGCTTACTACTAAACACCAGGGGAATTCTATTTGCGTTAAAAGACCCTGCAAACACTATCCTATACAATGTGATGTTAAACCATCTAAAAGGTTCCATAAACAACACAAGAAAGTCAAGGAAATACCACCATTTCAACCTCATAATTCAAAATTTTCTCAGTCTATGGCAGGGGACATTCCCAGGCCCGCCCCAATCACATACATTTTTCTTAATTCCAGTCTTAATATTCCTCTTAATAGGCCTATACACATATATAAGAAAAGTACATTGCCACTAATAAGATGAGCTATAAAGCACATCAATTACAATTTTTATCACATGAACAAGATGTTGGCCATATTTTCAAACATGCACAATTTTCGCCTGTTGCATTGTATTTCTTTTGTTTATGTCAAAATCTTCCACCCATATATCAGCCCCCAGATCAAACCCTGTTCTGTATCCGCCCCTGATAAGTTTAATGCGAAGTGTTATTAACCCCATTGAAGACTCACGAATCTTTTATCAAATTTTGATCATTTTGTTAGTGTTTTTAACAAGTTTTAATATAAAAATGTTCATACCTATCTAAGAAGGGTATATAATTATAAGGAAACGCGTTAAAACAAGTGGTCACTTTCAGGAATTAGTGTGAAAGTACATCTACATCTACATGTTACTCCCGAACAATCAATTCTGACTATGACAGGGAGGCGCTTGTCAGGAAAACTGTGTTAAAAGTATTAGGTGCGTACTAAAAGATGAAGATCACAGATAAAAGAAATTTTAAGGTGCAGGATAAAAGAAATAGTGCAAGATTAAAAACATACTGGGGAGGGGACTAGAAGGTGACTGTCGCCAACCTATCCTTGAAGGCATCTAGGCTGGGACTGGATTTGACCTGATATGGAAGGCTATTCCAATACCTGAGAGTTCTAGGGAAGTAGGAATTTAGATGATATTGGGTACGGGACTGGGGGATCAGGAAGTTCAGATTTCTAGTTGGGGTCAGATGGTTATGGTCAACATATACAAGTTTGTATTGGATTTTATAGAACACTACTAGAGAGGACTGGAGTCTGCGGCTTTCTAGGGAAGGCCACCCAAGTTCATTTAGCATTTGGGTTACACTACTGTCGAAATTATAATTATTACAGACATATCTGGCCGCAGCTCGTTGGACACTTTCAATCTTATGACTTAGATGTTTCTGCCAGGGGTGCCATATGGTGGAACAGTATTCTAGTTGTGGTCGGACATAAGTAACATAGGCTGATGTTTTGAGTTGCCTGTTTTGGGTTTTGACGTTTCTCTGGATGAATCTTAGAGAATTTTTGGCCTTGGAGGTGATGTTATTTATATGCTGTGTCGTAAGTATACTACCAAAAAGGAAAAGCAATCAGTAGAGAAGCTAAGCTGGTCGTCGGTTTAAATAATAACAAAATGTAGAAATATGTTTAGTGGTCTTCACCCGCTTACATTTAAAGACGACAGGGATAAAAGTTGAGTCGTATACTTTAAGTTTAAAAATGGCGGCCCCCATGAACAAGTTCTGTTGATTTTTCTGATGTTTTCTTGCAAACTCCATAATGTCAGTTGACACCAGAGCTTTACTTTGTAAAGTAAATGTTGAAAATGGCTGTTTTCGGAGCCCTCGAGACAAAGACATAGCTAAAGACATTTGGGAGCGTCATAGTTTGCAAAACTTACTAGAAGCTTTGAGTCATGTTTCCAGGGACTCTTCCATAAAAAGAATTTTTAATGAAAAATACATCGTGATTTTAACAGTTTTAATTGAAAATGGACCAGATGGATGGATCAAAATATTTGTAGATGGTTTCAATGACGTAAATGTACAAACTTTGTGTGTAAATAGTGTTCGGACAATTTCAAAAGTCGCTAGTGCTGAAGTAAAATCAGAAACAGAATATGGCCTATTTGATGCCGAAGATTTTCCTCATGTGGCTAAACGGTCCTGTTTAGTTCTAAATATTTTACAGACTCTTCTTAGAAAAGTGACTCTATGTGGAAGAGTGTATAAGGAACTTGATACTTGGACATGTTTGTTCCAGATAGGATATTTCTTATTTGGGATTGCAGCCCAACAGTTAAAAGACAATCCGTGGACAAACACAAATTCTGAAACCCTTGCAAATGACAGCATCACTCTTCTTTTGGAAACATTTCAATGTCCTTCTGTTTGTGAGTTTCTTTTACTTGATACAAAGCATGTATTTCCTGGAGATCAAGATCTACATTACAGCACACATGTAAAGAAGTCTGTGATAGGGAAATTACTGTTGCAATGGAAACCTCATCTGCAGCGTAAAACTTGGAGAAAAAACCCAGCTATAGCTTCAAGCTTCTCATGGTGCCTTCAGTATCTGAAATACCCGTATCTTAGTGAATTTTTAGAGTTAGTTCTGCCCCCATGTTTATTATTTGTGGATGATCATATTGTTCAAAATAAAGAGATGGGTACCAGATGCCTTGTTCATATTCTGCAGAATGCAACTGGTGAAGAATTAAGGTGGTATGGCCGTGCTGACGTTATCTATGAAGCGTTGAAACTACAAATGTATACCACAGAAGAATCTTTGCTTGGACTGACACACGATGCTTTACTACTGATCTTGAAAGTGATTGTGAAGGATAGTGAAAATTTAGGTGCAACAACAAAATATGATGAAATATTTTCACTTATTCTTCAAGCAGCTTTTCATGAAAATAAGCTTGTTTTGCGAAGAGTTCACTCTTGTTCACTTCATACATTTATTGAGTGTTTAGGTGTAAATGTTGTTAAATACATGAAAAGACTTTTAGAACTTATTGAAGAATATTTGGAAATCAGTGATGCACCCTCTGAAGAAGCTAGACTGAACACTTTGATTGCATTGAGAAGTCTTATCAAAACTGCCTGGACAAGGATACCTTCACATTCAGATGTAATCATCAAAGATCTTGTAAAACTAATTCACCAGATCTCTACAAGTGAATCAGAAGTAGATGACAATCAACTACTGACACTTGCAGTTGAATGTTTAAAACTCCTTAAAACTCTTGATGAAACATTTGTTTCTAAAAGCATCCAACAATTGCAGGATTTGCCTTTTCCAAACAAAGTGCATGCCATTTTGCAGCAGGTTGTAGTGAAGTAAGATATTATTTTAAAGCTATACCTTCAATCAACTGAACAGTAATGTCAGGAAGCAAAGTTTAAACAAAAAAAAAATGCACAAAAACTGTGAAACAACCAAAAGTGAAACAAATTGTACTATTTCATTTTTTCATAATCATTTATTGATTTAAATAATTGCACTTGCGTAACAACAAAACATATTCAATTAATAAGAGCAACTTTGTTTTAATATATTTTTACAAATTTATTGTTTACAGTTGTTAATTATTAAAAACCAACAAGAATTATAATAACTATGTAGTTAGTGGGTTTTATTGACTATTTATATCCCTATCAAACTTAGTTTTATATAGAAATCATCCTGTCCTGTTTGGATTGTTTCATTTGCCTGGCTTTTTGCAATAAATTTTTTTAGCTATTGCTACAGTCATGATGTCCTTGCTTTTGCTGTCCACAAACTTTCTCATATTTTTTTGTTTGTTTTTAATGCATTGTCTTGAAAAGTCTTCTTACTTGTATAAAACAACTCTGACAAAACCTTCAAGCAGCACATACCTGGTCTTAACTCATAAATGACCTTGACAGTTACCTTAAAGGTCAAATTATGGAATTTTGCTAGAAGTGCTAAAATTGGCTGTAACTGTGATGTTTAGGATTAGATTGTCTTCATATTTAAACAAAACTACATTACAGACAAAATCTCTAAGAAAACCAAACTAAATTTGACATTGAATCATAAATTACTGTGACCTTGAAGGTCAAATTATTGTTGTTTAACTGTTTTTTGCTGTAATTGGCTATAACATTGTATAGTTATGAAATGAATTCATTGTCTGCAAACTTCGGCACAACAATCCTTGGGACAATTCATTCAGGAAAATTGAATTGTACTGGGGTGAGTAACCAGAAGCATTCGTTAGAGTTACGATCATCGTTAAGCCTTGGTTAAGCTCTATTTAGTGATTTACCCTCTAACCTAAAACGTTCGTTATACCAAAACGACTACCTCGGAGTACATGTTAGACCTTCGTTGAAGAAAAACAACGTGTGAAGCTCTTTCAACAAACTTTCTAAGAGTATATATTATTTTTATGCCCCCACAATGTGGGAGCATATTGCGTTGCACTTGTCCGTCCGTCCATCTGTCCAGATGGCAGATTTTGCTTTCACTTACAGGGATGAACAACCTTAATGTGTAGATGGTAGTAAAGGAAGGAATTTTCGCTGCGACCAAATTTAACAGAATTATGGCCTTTTGTTGATTTTTTCACTAGATACTTTGTAGAAATTTTGTGAACGCAACTCCTCTTAAACCGGATGGCAGATTTTGCTTAAACTTACAGGGATGAACAACCTTAATGTGTACATGGCAATAAAGGAAGGAATTTTTGCTGCGACCAAATTTTACAGAATTATGGCCCTTTGTTGATTTTTTCACTATATACTATGTAGAAATTTTGTGAATGCAACTCCTCTTAAACCGGATGGCAGATTTTGCTTAAACTTACAGGGATGAACAACCTTAATGTGTAGATGGTAGTAAAGGAAGGAATTTTTGCTGCGACCAAATTTAACAGAATTATGGCCCTTTGTTGATTTTTTCACTAGATACTTTGTAGATATTTTGTGAACGCAACTCCTCTTAAACCGGATGGCAGATTTTGCTTAAACTTACAGGGATGAACAACCTTAATATGTAGATGGTAGTAAAGGAAGGAATTTTTGCTGCAACCAAATCTTACAGAATTATGGCCCTTTGTTGTTTTTTTTTCACTATATACTATGTAGAAATTTTGTGAACGCAACTCCTCTTAAACAGGATGGCAGATTTTGCTTAAATTTACAGGGATGAACAACCTTAAGGTGTAGATGGTACTAAAGGAAGGAATTTTCGCTGCGACCAAATTTTACAGAATTATGGCCCTTTGTTGATTCTTTCACTATATACTATGTAGAAAATTTGTGAATGCGACTCCTCTTAAACCGGATGGCAGATTTTGCTTAAACTTACAGGGATGAACAACCTTAATGTGTAGATGGTAGTAAAGGAAGGAATTTTTGCTGCAACCAAATTTTACAGAATTATGGCCCTTTGTTGATTTTTTCACTATATACTATGTAGAAATTTTGTGAACGCAACTCCTCTTAAACCGGATGGCAGATTTTGCTTAAACTTCCAGGGATTAACTACGTTAATGTGTAGATGGCAGAAAAGGAAGGAATTTTTGCTGCGACCAAATTTAACAGAATAATGGCCCTTTGTTGATTTTTAGTTTTCAACTTGTGGCACATGTAGTCCAAAAAATATTTGACCTAGAGTCATAAGATTGACAGAACAGTGGCGTGTAGGGGCATCCGTGTCCTATGGACACATTTCTAGTTATAACGTATTTTCTTCCTATTTTCCTGATAATAAGTCCTTGATATGGTGTAACAATCTGTATATTTCTTAATGTGTAAAGTGATTAGTCCCCTACCGGTTTACCGGAGGGGACTTTAGGTTTACCCTCCGTCTGTCTGTCTGTCTGTCCGTCTGTCAGTCCGTCCGTCCACAAAACTGGATCCCGCGATAACTTGAAAAGTACTGAAAATATTTTTATGAAACTTGGTATATGGATAGATGGCAGTATGGAGATTATGCACGTCTTTTTATTTTCTTCCTATGTTGAAAATTCTGGTTCTATGTTGAAAATTCTGGTTGCTATGGCAACAAATAGGCTGAAAATAGGGCAAATTTTACACATAAACTGAATCCAGTGATAACGCAAAAAGTACTGGAAATATTTTTATGAAACTTGACATATGGGTAGATGGCAGTCTTGAGATTATGCACGTCTTTTTCTTTTCTTCCTGTGTTGAAAATTCTGGTTGCTATGGCAACAAATAAGCTGAAAATATGGCAAATTTTACACATAAACTGGATCCAGTGATAACGCAAAAAGTACTGGAAATATTTTTATGAAACTTGACATATGGGTAGATGGCAGTGTTGAGATTATGCATGTCTTTTTCTTTTCTTCCTATGTTGAAAATTCTGGTTGCTATGGCAACAAATAAGCTGAAAATATGGCAAATTTTACACATAAACTGAATCCAGTGATAACTCAAAAAGTACTTGAAATATTTTTATGAAACTTGACATATGGGTAGATAGCAGTCTTGAGATTATGCATGTCTTATCTGTTCTTCCTATTTTGAAAAAAATATCTGCTGCCTTGGCAACAAATAGGCTTAAAACATGGCAAATATAACAATATTTGTGATAAGTCAAAAAGAGCTGAAATTTTTTTATGAAATTGCATCTTTAATTCAAGAGTTATCTCCCCTTTAAAAATTTTGCTTTTAAAATGTTATATTTTGGTAACAGGGATGTTTCAAATATTAACTTTAGAGTGTACTTCAGTCCGTCTGTCTGTCTGTTCATAAAAACTGTTTCCTGTGATCACTTTTAAAGACCTTTCCAACAAATTTTTAATGACTTAAAATAGAGAAAAATTGAAACATTAGTGAATGGCCAATGGCCCTTCAGAATGTTGATGGGGTTCCAACCGGTAGGGGACTTATGGATTGCTTGCAATACTATGATAATTGCTTGTTATTTTTTTTATTTTTAGCTCACCTGTCACAAAGTGACAGGGTGAGCTTTTGTGATCGCTTTTCGTCCGGCGTCCGTAAACTTTTACTTTAAATGAAATCTCCTCATTAACCACTCAGCCAATTTCATCCAAACTTCACAGGAATGTTCCTTTGGTCGTCACCTTTGAAAATTGTTCAAAGAATTTAATTCCATGCAGAATTCTGGTTGCCATGGCAACCAAAAGAAAAAACTTAAAATATCTTCTTCTAAAAAATCCAAAGAGCTAGAGCTTAGATTTTTGGCATGAAACATCTCGGTGAGTGTCTACCAAGTTTGTTCAAATAAAAGCCCTGGGGTCAAAATTGGCCCCGCCCCAGGGGGTCATTGATTTTCCCTATATGCATATAGTAAAAACTTATAAATCTTCTTTTAAAGAACCAAAAGAGCTTGAGCTAAGATATTTAGCATGAAACATGTTCTAATGGGTGTCTACCAAGTTTGTTCAAATAAAAGCCCTGGGGTCAAAATTGGCCCCGCCCCAGGGGGTCATTGATTTTTCCTATATGCATATAGTAAAAACTTATAAATCTTCTTTTAAAGAACCAAAAGAGCTTGAGCTAAGATATTTAGCATGAAACATGTTCTAATGGGTGTCTACCAAGTTTGTTCAAATAAAAGCCCTGGGGTCAAAATTGGCCCCGCCCCAGGGGGTCATTGATTTTCCCTATATGCATATAGTAAAAACATAAAAATCTTCTTTTAATGAACCAAAAGAGCTAGAGCTAAGATATTTAGCATGAAACATGTTCTAATGGATGTCTACCAAGTTTGTTCAAATTAAAGCCCTTGGGTCAAAATTGGCCACGCCCCAGGGGGTCATTGATTTTCCCTATATACATATAGTAAAAACTTTAAAAAATCTTCTTTTAAAGAGCCCAAAGAGCTTAAGCTAAGATATTTAGCATGAACATCTTCTAATGGGTGTCTTCCAAGTTTGTTCAAATAAAAGCCCTTGGGTAAAAATTGGCCCCGCCCCACGGGGTCATTGATTTTCCCTATATGCATATAGTAAAAACTTAAAAAATCTTCTTTTAAAGAACTAAAAGAGCTAGAGCTAAGATATTTAGCATGAAACATCTTCTAATGGGTGTCTACCAAGTTTGTTCAAATAAAAGCACTGGGGTCATAATTGGCCCCGCCCCAGGGGGTCATTGATTTTCCCTATATACATATAGTAAAAACTTTAAAAAAATCTTCTTTTAAAGAACCCAAAGAGCTAAAGCTAAGATATTTAACATGAAATATCTTCTAATGGGTGTCTTCCAAGTTTGTTAAAATAAAAGCCCCAGGGTTTAAACTGGCCCCGCTCAGGGGGCCTATGTACAGGTGAGCGACTTCAGGGCCATCATGGCCCTCTTGTTGTGTGTTTTCTTTTGGAATTATTAAGTTATTATTTCTTTTTATAAAAGGAGTTCAGTCTTATTTAATGCATAGAAGTGCCCAGGATTAATTTGTGTAGTTAATTTTGCAACATTTGTTTTTGCTTCAATATCACTGTAAATACTTGTGTTTTCTGTGAAATGTACTAGTATATAATTATAAATTATGTAATAAGTTAAAGGCCCAGTATGCCTCAGAAATGCTTTCATTTTTATTTCCCAAATTTTTCCATTTTTTTTGGTATCTTGTTAAGTTTCCAAAAAAATTACTCATTTATAGTGAATAATTATTTCATATGGAAGTCAAAATACTTTTTTGCTACCTTTAAAACACATTCCTGTACATTATAAAACATATGTTTGACATTTCTTAAGAATTGTTGTTTTCAAAAATTGATTTCTGATGTATAATGTGCCTTTAACATGTGAAAGTTTGAAAATAAAGTTGTGTTTTATGTTAATATAAGCTTGATGTTACATTTTGCTGATTGGGTTAATGTGCATTGATCATTATATGAAGTGGGAACCAGTCAAAATGTACTGTGAACCAGTCATTTTGAAAAATCTTCGAACATTCACTGCAATCTCTGCATAACAAGACTCTATTAAGCAGTAACCTCTTTATAACAACTATTAATTCTTATCACTATAAATTTCATCTCCCTTTAGCAACACACCTCGGCTACATCAAAAGTATTTATCTCTTAAAGGGAGTGGCTATGCAGAGGTTGCATTGTTTTTAAGAGGTGGTCTGAAGTTTGTAAAATAACTATGAATTTTTAGCTTGAAGAGTAAGGTGAGCTATTGCACACGCCCTGGCGTCTGAGAAGCCTAAATTTTTTTATTAAGTCAAATATCTCAATTATTGCTTGAGATATTCAATGGAAACTTACAAAACTTATATAGTAACAATGTACTTCAGATTGAAAAGTTGGAGAGCTCTGCCTACAATATTTGCAGAATTATGCCCCTTTTTAACTTAGAAATTTGGTTAAAGTTTTTTGTAAAGTCAAATTCTTCCATAATTCAGTGGAATATAAAGTAATATAAAAATAGTGCAGTTCTGACACGAGACATTGTTCTGACTAAATTCTTCATCAAGGTTGTAATTTTTTCGTCAGCATTAAGCTGGAATACATTTAATTTCTTATTCTGTTGCAGAATTTATTTTGCTATATATATTATAACCTTATTGTTTGTACATTTTGCCAATAAACTTTATTGAAAGCTTTTCAAGATTTTGTTTATTTCTATGCTTACAAGCTTTATCCTTTAACCTGCTATAAAAAAGTGTTTGACCTGTAGTGTAGTCTGACTATGCCATCTGATTAGTCTGACCATGAAATTTGAGTAGTCTGACCCTGCAGTTTGAGGAGTCTGACCCTGCAGATGGAGGAGTCTGACCCTGCAGATGGATAAGTCTGACCCTGCAGATGCTGGAGTCTGACCCTGCAGATGGTGGAGTCTGACCCTGCAGATGGTGGAGTCTGACCCTTCAGATTGATAAGTCTGACCCTGCAGATGGTGAAGTCTGACCCTGCAGATGGTTGAGTCTGACCTTACAGATGGATAAGTCTGACCCTGCAGATGGTGGAGTCTGACCCTGCAGATGGTGGAGTCTGACCCTGCAGATACTGGAGTCTGACCCTGCAGATACTGGAGTCTGACCCTACAGATGGTGGAGTCTGACCCTACAGATGGATAAGTCTGACCCTGCAGATGGTGGAGTCTGACCCTGCATATGGATGAGTCTGACCCTGCAGATGGGGTCAGATAGTGGAGTCTGACCCTGACCCTACAGATGGATAATATGTCTGACCCTACAGATGGATGTCTGACCCTAAGATGGATAGTCTGACCCTGCAGATGGTAGAGTCTGACCATGCAGATGCTAGAGTCTGACCATGCAGATGCTGGAGTCTGACCCTGCAGATAGTGGAGTCTGACCCTACAGATGGATAAGTCTGACCCTACAGATGGATAAGTCTGACCCTGCAGATGGTAGAGTCTGACCATGCAGATGCTGGAGTCTGACCCTGCAGATAGTGGAGTCTGACCCTACAGATGGATAAGTCTGACCCTGCAGATAGTAGAGTCTGACCATGCAGATGCTGGAGTCTGACCCTGCAGATAGAGGAGTCTGACCCTACAGATGGATAAGTCTGACCCTGCAGATGGTGGAGTCTGACCCTGCAGATGGATAAGTCTGACCCTGCAGATGGTGGAGTCTGACCCTACAGATGGATAAGTCTGACCCTACAGATGGATAAGTCTGACCCTGCAGATGGTGGAGTCTGACCATGCAGATGCTGGAGTCTGACCCTGCAGATAGTGGAGTCTGACCCTACAGATGAATAATAATAATAATAAACTCTTTATTTAACGAAGGTAACTTATTAAGACAATACATCAAAGCATTAGATACAACACATATAATGCAAAATCTTATTTTCAACAAGGCCTTCAATAAAACATAAACATAACAACGGACATAATTCAAGCAATTGTAAAGATTACAACATTCAGTAAATCTTAATCAACAAAGAAGACAGACATAATATTATATTATAGTATAGGTAAATTTTCTATAATTCATCTGTAGATAATAATAAATGTTTGAAATGTGATTTAAATAATTTAAGACTTGAAAGATTTCTTATTTTTAAAGGAATAGTGTTCCATAACTCCATACTAGAATAATAAAAAGTACATTTCAAATAATTTGTTTTAGGTCGTTTATGCATAATATCTTTTTTATGTGTTGATCTTAGTAAGTAAGTTTTATTTTGAGATAACGGAATTAGATTAGAAATATATGCTGGCGTTAATTCATTCATCGCTTTATATACCATAATTCCAGAAAAGTATTTACATCTAGATGGAAAAGATAACCATTTCATATTTTGAAACATATCAAGAGAATTTGTTTTTACGGGTTTATTTAAAATAATTCTAGCGGTTCTTTTTTGTAATTTTGTTATTCTATTTAGATCTGATTTGTTACATTGGGACCAAATAATACATCCATAATCAAAAGTAGGGACAATGTAAGCGTTATAAAATAATTGTTTCATTTCAGGTGTAAGAAATATTTGAATTCTTTTCAGCAGAGATATTTTAGAAGCAAGCTTAGAACATGTTTTGTCAATATGTGTTTTCCAAGATAGACAGATATCAATATGCAATCCAAGTAGCTTTTGACAATGAACATTATTTATACTCGAATTCTCAATATGCAGAGAAAGATTGCCTATGTTATTTATTTTACATTTTGATCCAAAATAATGAATAAGTCTGACCCTGCAGATGGTGGAGTCTGACCCTGCAGATACTGGAGTCTGACCCTGCAGATAGTGGAGTCTGACCCTGCAGATGGTAGAGTCTGACCCTGCAGATGGTGGAGTCTGACCCTGTAGATGGAGGAGTCTGACCCTGCAGATAGTGGAGTCTGACCCTGCAGATGGATAAGTCTGACCCTGCATATGGTGGAGTCTGACCCTGCAGATGGTGGAGTCTGACCCTGTAGTGACAGGGTGAGCTTTTGTGATCGCTTTTCGTCCGGCGTCCGTCGTCCGTAAACTTTTACTTTAAATGACATCTCCTCATAAACCACAAGGCTAATTTCATCCAAACTTCACAGGATTGTTCCTTTGGTGGTCACATTTAAAAATTGTTCAAAGAATTTAATTCAATGCAGAACTCTGGTTGCCATGGCAACCGAAAGAAAAAAACTTTAAATATCTTCTTTTAAAAAAACCATAAGAGCTAGAGCTTAGATATTTGGCATGAAACATCTTCTAGTGAGTGTCTACCAAGTTTGTTCAAATAAAAGCCCTTGGGTTAAAATTGGCCCCGCCCTGGGGGGTCATTGATTTTTCCCTATATGCATATAGTAAGAACTTAAAAAATCTTCTTTAAAAGAACTCAAAGAGCTATGGCTAAGATATTGAGCATCAAACATGTTCTCATAGGTGTCTACCAAGTTTGTTCAAAGAAAAGCCCTGGGGTCAAAATTGGCCCCGCCCCAGGGGGTCATTGATTTTCCCTATATGCATATAGTAAAAACTTAAAAAATCTTCTTTTAAAGAACCAAAAGAGTTGGAGCTAAGATATTGAGCATGAAACATGTTCTAATAAGTGTCTACCAAGTTTGTTCAAATAAAAGCCCTGGGGTCAAAATTGACCCCGCCCCGGGGGGTCATTGATTTTCCCTATATATGCATATAGTAAAAACTTAAAAAATCTTCTTTTAAAGAACTCAAAGAGCTATGGTTAAGATATTTAGCATCAAACATGTTCTAAAAGGTGTCTTCCAAGTTTGTTCAAATAAAAGCCCTGGGGTCAAAATTGGCCCCGCCCCGGGGGTCATTGATTTTCCTTATATGTGTATAAGTCTTTTTTGAAAAAAACCCAAATAGCTAGAGTTAAGATATTAAGCATGAAACATCTTTTAGTGAGTGTCTACAAAATTTGTTCAAATAAAAGACCTGGGGTCAAAATTGGCCCCGCCCCGGGGTCATTGATTTTCCTTATATGTGTATAGCAAAAACTTAAAATCTTCTTTGAAAAAACCCAAATAGCTAGAGTTTAGATATTAAGCATGAAACATATTCTAGTAAGTGTCTACAAAGTTTTTTCAAATAAAAACCCTGGGGTCATAACTGGCCCGGCCCCAGGGGTGTCATTGTTTTTAACTATATGTGTATAGTAAAAACTTTAAAAAAAAATCTTCTTTTAAATAGCCCAATGAGCTAGAGCTTAGATGTTTAGCATGAAACATCTTCTTATGGGTGTCTACCAAGTTTGTGCAAATAAAAGCCCTTTGGTTAAATTGGCCCTGCAACGTTTGAGGGGGGATGTGGGTTGGGGGGCCTATATACAGGTGAGCGACCTCAGGGCCATCATGGCCCTCTTGTTTTAATTATTATTATTATTATGACTGCATTCATTTTCAAAACTAGAACTATCACTAAATGTGATTAATACCCCCACAAGTCTGCTTCGGAAATGAGGATGTTACTAGTAACAGAATACCTTGTAAAAGAATTGAAACATAGAGTTATGGTTGTGGGCAATTAAAGATAATTGTGGTTCATGTATGTTGCATTTCCTTTCAATGTGGTTGGCCATTGATGAAGTTTAATTGAATTACTCTGTAATAAGTCCAGAAAGACAAAGAAAAAGAACAAAGGGCAATAACTCTATAAATACTGAAGATAGAGTTATAGTTCTTGTGCACTGCACTTCCTCTTATTGTGCTTGACCATTGTATGAAGTTGTTTTGGATTCCAACCAGTACCTTTTAAATTATGCTCCGGACAAGGAAAAGTATCAAACGGCAGTAACTCTGTATTTTGTCAAAATGGAGTTATGGCTCTTGTGCACTGCACTTCCTTTGAATGTCCTTGACAACTGTATGAAGTTGTACTGAATTCCAAACAGTAGTTTTCAAGTTATGCTCTGGACAAGAAAAAGTAACAAAGGGCAATAACTCTGTAATTAGTCAAGATGAAGTTATGGTTCTTGTGCACTGCACTTCCCCTTATTGTGCTTGACCATTGAATGAAGTTGTTTTGAATTCCAACCAGTAGTTTTCAAGTCATGCTCTGGACAAGGAAAAGTAACAAAGGGCATTAACTCTGTAATTAGTCAAGATGGAGTTATGGTTCTTATGCACTGCACTTCCTCTCAATGTGCTTGACCATTGTATGAAGTTATGATGAATTCCAACAATAAGTTTTCCAGTTATGGTCCGGACAAAAGAAAGCAATGGAAAAGTAACAAATGGCAATAACTCTGTAATTAGTCAAGATGGAGTTATGGTTCTTGTGCACTGCACTTCCCCTTATTGCATGTATTGTGCTTGACCATTGTATGAAGTTGTTTTGAATTCCAACCAGTAGTTTTAAAGTCATGCTCTGGACAAGGAAAAGAAACAAAGGGCAGTAACTCTGTAATAAGTCAAAATGGAGTTATGGTTCTTGTGCACTGCACTTCCTCTCAATGTGCTGGACCATTGTATGAAGTTATAATGAATTCCAACAATTAGTCTTCAAGTTATGATCCGGACAAAAGAAAGCAATGGAAAAGTAATAAAGGGCAATAACTCTGTAATTACTTTAGATAGAGTTATGGTTCTTATGCACTGCACTTCCTCTCAATGTGCTTGACCATTGTATGTAGTTATATTGAATTCCAACCATTAGTCTTCAAGTTATGGTCCGGACAAAAA